TTCAACAGCATGATCACCTTCGGCATCCTTTTCATCTACAGCTATCGTTGACCCAAGGGAGAACTGTTTGTGTCGACCAAGTTTGTGCCCCCTCCAAAGTGTTAACTTCATCATCTGCTACAATAGGTTCGACCAAAATATTATTGTCTTCATGGTCAGATCCATCAGTTTGAGACTGTTGGGTAGTTGTCTTAGCAGGTGAAGAAGGGACTGTAAAAGAATCAGGTTTATTAATCTCACCAAGAGAACTCATACCAGAACCCAAATCAGAGGTGGATGATAGGTAGGCTCACCTTGGCTATTCAAGGGATAGAGTGATAGAGGAAGCTTGGCTGGGTCAGATTTTGGATCCCCAGCATCAGGCTAGAAAAGACAGACATCAAAAAGAGTAGGACCAAAAATCAGTGCAAGACCCAAAGAAAGATATATGTGCAACATACCTTGACATTTTCATCAGCAGGGCTAGAGCTGTCACTCTCCATAGGAACAACAGTTTGGATTGAAGCATCCCCCGTGGGAGCCTTAGTAAGGTCTTGAGAGGGAGTACTCGTTTGAGGTATGTTGGTTGCAAGAGGAGCAGATGGAGCATCAAGAGTATCCACATCGTGGGTGATCTTTCGTTTTCTCTTTACTTGAAGACTCTCGCGAGGAGATCCATCTTCGTCATCAGAATCAATGATAATCTGGGCAGAAGCCCTTTTCAGCCTCTTTTGTAGGGTGGGTGGTTTTCGACTAGCCTGAAAGCAACGTAAAGTGTTAAGGTTAATTAAGGAAGTCGAAATAGTAGAAAGTTGCAGAGGATTACCTTCTGGTCTTCGACCTTGCCTTCAGTTTTGGTTGCTGGGGCAGCACATTTTGGAGCAGCTGAAAAATAAATAATACCAATGCCAGTTAGCAACAATAAAGCTCAGGGAGGAAAGTCCAAATAGAAGGGGGATGAACCTTCAAGAATTTCGGATTCGATGCGAACATCTTCGATACTAACATGAAGGTTCCCTTTAAACGTATCGAGTGTATGTTTAGTCGGAACCACCCGCTGCGCTTTGGGCTTCAACTGCTGTCAAAGGATTTTTATGGCGTCTCCACAAATAAACCAATATGGGAATGGAGGGGCAAGAGCCATGCCAAAACTAGCTGTTGGTAGTCGAGGGACTTTTGGGGGAAAAAATTTAAAGGCAACCTCATACCGTTTCTCACGAGGAACAGAAGAGGGAATCTTTAAACTGTCCAATTTTTTAGAAAACTTTTCTTTCAAAGTAACAGCAGCCTCACGGATGGTTCGACTAACATCAGCTGGTCGATAGGCAGTTTCGAAGTACTTCTGGAAGGCTTGAATCTCTTTGATATGGGTAGACGTGCCTTTCTTGATCTTCTCCTACACATCAACGAAAGCTTGGTCAATCAAGCGAGCAAAACTCGAAGCGTCAAGAAACTCTGAGGCATAATGTTTTGACCACCAGTCGTAGAAATCTTGGGAGCAGAAATAAGAAGGTTCAAAATGGACAGGCGTAAGGAAAGACTTATGGGCATGGCGCTCCAATTGTGTCGAACAGTCGAGGGGAGATAGCACCGTGAGAGGAAGTATGATATGTGATTTCTTGTCATATAGGCACTTGGGCAAAGTCTGTATCAACCCAAATTGCCTGGACACCAAATTTGGTTGGTAGGCTACTAAGCTGGCCTGACCTCTAACAAGGTTTAATTTATGAACCAGCAGTCAAGGTATGAGGAATCGTTCCCAAATCAGCTTTGATTCCTCTTCTTGTTTCTTTAATGGAGTAAGGAAGGGCCTGGTCAACCACTCTGGGCCGTATCTTCGTTCTGCAAAGGGAGCCATCTTCGAGGTAAACTCGTACCGTTTTGTGAACATGTGAATGAAGTTGGATAAGTTGGATCGAAGAGTATGTCCTTCTTCGCTAGGAGTAAGTTGGGCTAAGCGAGGCCATTCGAATATTCTCTTAGAGACTGAAGACGAACCTTCATCGACTTCGCCTCTGTTGGGGAGGTTATGTTCAAAAGTGGCATTAAGCCACAACTGGAGGAGCCAAAAGGGGCTTGATAACAGCAAGTTGCCATGGCTTTCAGGGTCTTTCAATTTGCCAGCACCTTCGCCCAAGGCCTCATAGAGACTGGCCAGAATCATCTCACTCAGGCAGATGCCTCTCTTCAGGTGCAGTTGGTTGGCCAGAACAAGATATTTTCGTGCCACCTGCAAAGATTTTGTACAAAATACGCAACGAGATAACCACATGGTCAGAAAGGCTATATGTTCCTCGTTATCGACAAAGATGGTGGTTTTGTTATGATAGTGTTGAACAAAGGTTGTGTAAGTATGTTTGGTGTTGGCGAATCCTATGGTGTCTTGACTATCAATCTCAGGATCGTAAACAAGGCCGTAGGGTTTTAGGCCCACAATGGCAGCTACATCGAGCAATGTAGGTGTCATCATCCCACAAGGGAGGTAGAAAGTATTATGAGTACTGTCCCAGAAAAACAAGGAAGAGGCCAACATAAAGGGGTAGTAAGTAGGGCCTACCTTCGACATCATTATCAGATCATAAATCCCAGTGTCCTTCCAATCTTGGGCTTTCACTTTCTCTATTTTTGCCAGCCAATTGAGGTAAAGTTCAGAATCTTTAAAGTAGGAGGTAGCCCTAAATAATCTGGCTCCATCATGGAGATACCTAAGATCTACGTCGAAGAGGGTTAGGTTATCAGGGCCATCAGCAGAGACTTTGCTAGAATCTTTTTGCCCTAAAGGTTTAGTGACTCTGTAGGAGGGAAAGAAGTCTCTAATGGCAGAATAATCAAGACCTAGAGGAGGTAAAGGGCCAGACATGGCTAAGGGTTTACCTGCAACAGTAACTGGGATGATTACCTGCGATTCATAAATGTGGCGTTTCTCTTCTGACAAGGGTCCGCGAATGAACTGTTGGTTCTTCACTACCTTAGGACCGCTCAAGCTGGCAAAGGGTGGGAGAGTTGATGCAAAAGCTTGTCCTTTGAGTTGCGTCTTCTTATTTTGATGATTAGCCATTGTTGAAAGTAGTAAAAAGTTTGTTGGTTTGGAGAGCAGAAAATTAGAGGAAGAGAAATGCAAGAATATTGTTAAGAGTCAGAGAAGTTGGAAAAAATGAAAATATCAGAGGAGAGTTACTTATATAGTGTATGAAAGATTGAAAGTTTTCATCATTAAGGGGCTAGAGTTAGTGGGCCACGTGTGCGCCTGGAGTAGGGTGGTAGATATAGTAGTTGAAATTCACGTCCCCTAGGCTGAAAAGGTGATGATGGCCCACGATTTTGGTGGTTCCCGAGAAAATCGCCATGATGAAACGTGACGTCAGAAACGTGCATCAAGGTGGCGGAATAGTATCTTGCGTGTTCCCCTCTATCTTCTTTTTTTCTCTTTCTTCCCTTTCACCTTCCCAGACTTGTATTGGTTGAAAGAGCATCCGACGACACGTATGAGGAGGACAAGCGACGTCGAAAATCAGACGCTGTCAAAAAATTTGCTTTTCCACATCAGAAGTCAAAAAGACATTTTTGGGGGCAATTTGTTAGCTCCTAAATTCGACGCCTCTTGCAAAAGAGAGGAATTCAAGATGAAATAACAAAAACAAGTTGAGAATAAAAGTTGGTCGAAAGGTGTAAGGCAGTAAAGGAAGGAGTCGAAGAACTCACCCAGATTAAAAGAAAAACAAGGACTTCGACCGCTTGTTGCTTTTGGTGGTTTGTCGAAGGTTTGAAATTTAAAAGTTTTGGAGGGAACCGTTTCGTTTGCCAAATGCTTAAGAGGACACGTGGCACTTTATGAGCAGTAGATCCATACATTGTGACAAGTGGCGAGAGGTGGTGATGTTAGAGGTTATTAGAAGTTATTTTTTTACTATTATAAATAGGATGTCTTAGACATAAGCAAAGTGTGTTGTAATTTACCATTGTACAAATTACTCTTAGAATTACTCCAAGTATCCGAGCGTAGAGAAAGCGAGTATTATAGAGAATGTACGTGATGTAAACACATCATCTTTTATCTTAATGAAATTTACTTTACTTGCTTTAAACTTTACAAAGTCTTTTATTGTCTTTGCACCTTTCTTCTTTATTTTCTTTCTTCTTTTTCTATGCAATTCATTTTCCCTCGTCCTAACCTAATCTTCCCTCTCCAAACAAACTTCTTTCTTTCTTTCATCAAAAGCTTTATTTTATCTTTTAATTGAGTCCGTAGTCGAATAGATGTTTCTTTAAGATTCTTTTACCGCAATACAGCCTAAGTGAGAAACTTAGATAGATTTCCAAAATAAAGAACTTTTATCACATGTCCTAGGATCAATTTGATCGATCATGTGAGTCACCAAAGTTAGATTTGGAAGATCAGCGGTTGATTTCCGATTTTCAAGGGAAACAATGAGCACACACATAAACTCAGGACCTCCTTATCGGTGGTGGCGGTTCTGGTGGGGGTCGATTTCCATGTCCGTACCACTCTGGACCATCGGTTGGTGGAGGTGATTTTAGAGTTACAAGCGATTGATGGTTGATGGCGGAGAGGAGGATGTGCTTGATGGAGGTTGGAGGAAGAAACATGTGTGGATTTAACATGGATGAGGGTTTCAAAGGAATGAAAAGAGAGGAGGAAAGAAAACTTAGAGTGGGGAAGAAACCTCCATTGAAGGGGAGATGGCCACTATAATGGAGGTGATTAGCTCCAATGAGGGAGGAGGAGCCGGGGAGGCGGCACCCACCAAAAGAGAGAAAAGCTTCTCTCTCTAAACATTTTGCACCTCACTCTACTGGCTTAGCTGTTGCAAGATTAATTATCATTCCATGGTGACAAACCAACAAAACTCTTGCATAAACTAGTGCTAGAGGCAAAGAGATATTTTAAAATTCAACATTCAGACATGCAAACCATTTCGGTTTGATTCAATTTCAAAAACAGTTATGAATTAGAACACTTTGTCAAGTTATATTGTGACATACATATTTAATATCTCATGTTAAATACTATTTACTGTCAGACCAGAATCGTAAGTAACACCAGTGGCAGGTAACCAAAGATCCCCCTCAATAAATTGAGCCACGGTATACTTAATAGCGTCGCTCGAATCATTCAACACATGGTATCCTGACCATTTCACTCTGTTAGTAACTTCAGCCCCCGGTCCAGAGTTCATGTATTCGCCATAGTACAATGTATCCAAAGCAAAACTTCCGCGCCACTTTAACCACCCTTCTGGCCTTATCGCGTCACTCATGTAGGATTGCATGAAAACTGTTCGCGAATATTCCTTCCAGGGTCTACCAAGGTATGTTGGGCTGGTTACACCGGTGTCCGCTGAAATGTTGCAAAATTGGAAGGAGAAACCGGTTGGTTGGCACGGATATTGTCGTCCTTGAGCCGTAATAGTGTTCTTTTGGTCCTGCATCCCTTGCCTGGCTATTATTTGGCACTTCTGGAACACGGCCGTGGCGTCCCCAAAGATGAAATCCACGGTACCAGTGATTTTGCATTCTCTGTAGAATTGACGCATGTTGTGGGCGTATAGGCTGTCTTGATAACCAAATATCCCGCAGCGATAAAATACCGAGAGATCAGAGCTTGATTTTAATGCCACTGCTTGATGCTTCTCGGGACCTGCGGTGTTCGTAAATGATATGTCGCGTGCAATGAATCCTTTACCCTTTACAGCTGCATATGCTCATACATAAACAAGAAAATGAAAGTTACTTGTTAATGTATAGAATATTAAGACCATATAATATTATAGAGAAATAGAAGACAAGCGCGCAATGAAAAATTTAAAATAGAGAAAATGTAAAAAAATTAACATAGAGAGTATGAATGTAATCATACCAAAGGTAGCTGAACTGAAAGCTGTAGTACCGTCGACTTTATTCAGACGACCGGAGATAACAGTATCATCCATACCATCACCGATCATCATGATATTCCTTTTCTTGTTATCAATCACCACATTCTCAACATAAACACCTTTTTTCACATGTATAACATATCTTTTTAAGCTGTCATCGGGTGCTGCCCATATCGCTTCCATCACGCTCTGGTAATCCCCACTTCCATCAGCAGCCACAACAGCATCCGCAGTCACTTCATCCGCCTGTAACAGATTTGCATCGTTGTCTTTAATCCATGAAGGAAACTGATCCGAGCCAATAGCGGTTGTGAGGTGATCATTGACAGGTTTCACTCCATCAAGAAGATTCTTCACCGCTGATTTTACACGATCAAGACCAGCGGATACAAGACCCATCGCATTTGTACCTTGTAATCCTTCTATACATGTGTCTGGATTCACAAGAACGGCGCTCAGCCATGTTCGTAGATCAGAGCTTAGGTTTCCAGTACTGTTATCCTTCCCTGTAAAAAGAAAATATTTAGCAACATATATAACAAACGAAAAAAGAACACCAAAAACAAAGTATGTAACAACATTGAACTGAGCTGACACAGACACCAGACGTGATACTAGTCTTAATACATATTGTAACTTGCATGATAGACATTAATAGTACCATTGGGATTTTGAATGGCGGAGATGGACCAATGAAGATTTTCCGTGGACAAGTCGACTAAATCGAGGCAATCGGAGATGGCATTCGAGACAGGAGGGTGGCTAGCTTCAACATGGAGGTTGAAGCGTGATAAAATGGCGGTAACATGTTGAAGATTGGTGATAACTTCTTTGGCAGAGTTAACGAAATGGATGGGAGAAATTTTGAGCAAGACTGATCCATTGGAATCAATGGAAGCAGAAGCAGTGAAGTGTGGGAGAGTGAGTATGAAGAAGAAAAAGATGAATGTAAATATTGTTTTTGTGGAAGAAATAGCCATTTTTAGAACTTTGAATTATAACTGACACTTTGATAGTGTCACTAAAACTATGGTTTTGTTTTTGTTTATATATATATATATATATATATATATATATTATTGGAAGAGAAAACAAAAAAAGAAAAGAAAAGATTGGAGATTATTTAAAGGCAACAAAGGAAGAGAAAGGTTGGAGATTATTTAAAGGCAAACAAAAAATTAAAAATATAATAATTTAAGAAAAGCGCAAACTTTTTTTTCTCTTTTTTTTATGTCTTATAAGAAATTTTTTATAAAAAATGATTTAAAAGTATATCTCTCTCTCTTAAAATAATAAAAACTAACTTTAAATAAGATAATAAACCGTACTTTTAAAAAAACTGAAGGGATCAATTGAATTAAAATAAATGGAGGTTAAATCTATTTATATGAGAAAGAACAGTTGGTAAATATTAAAGATGCAATGAAACAAAATATCAGTTTACACACTCTTAACAAATTATAAGTTACTAAAATAATCATCTTACTCCTTAAACAAAATAACAACCAATTATATAACCTAAGTAATGCAATCAAAAGTCTTAAAATAGTTTTTTTAACCTTCCAAATAAAATATAATAACTATGAATTATAATTTATATCCAATTAAAATCAACGTTACAGGGAAATTACGAGGGTATTGAGATTTTTATTTATTGTTTTTAAGTGTTTCATGTTGTATGCTTTATGAGTTTATATTTATTTAATTGCTAGCATATATAATTTATGCTTATGGTGTGATGAGTTTATTCTCTGTGCTTTTCTAATGTAAGTAAATCAGTTTTTTATATACTCCACTAAATTGAAATTCATCCACCTAGCTGACTAGTCACTTCTCTTTTTTTTTAAATCATTTTGGATTTTTTTTACTGAAAAATAATATTTTTAATCTAAACTATCCCAAAGAATGTCAATTAATGTTCAATTAATTTTTTAATCAAATTATTTTAAAATAATTGAGATAATGATAATTTAAATGCTTTAAAATTACTATAATAATAAATTATTTATCAAAACTTTTTATTGAAATTACTTTAAACAATAAACTTATATCAAATCACAAATTATTATTTTTCTAAAAGAAACAATTAAGACAATTTTTTTCACTCTCATTTAACTATTGTCTCATTTTAACTGTTGTCCTATCTTTTCAAGTTAACTTTATAATTTAGAAATTATAAAAAATTAAACTAAAATACTTTGATTAATTCAAAAAAACCAACGATACAAGGCGATCGCATGAATCCAACCGAAAAAAATTAAAATGGACAAAACAAACTAAAGCAAGCCACAAAAGCTAATTAAGCATTAACCTAGCTATGTGATCCTTTAGCTTTTTATTGTTCCATTCTCTATAAACTATCATATTAATGATTCTATCTTCAGTTTGTTTGTTATGTACATCCTTTCCAAAACTAATATCATTTATATACTGCTAAATTTCATAAATGTTCTCTGCAGCTATCAGTTTTAAAAGAGTGGCTATATTCCCTTTGCCTTTGCTATGCTTCATAATCTATTTAATCTCTTGACTCCACTTGCCCCGAATGATAATGGAACTAAATCTAATTAAGGACTTTCTCCCAAATCGCCTTCGTTGCAATACACTCAAACATTTGATCCTGATGTGTTTCATCAGCATTGCAAAAATAACATTTGGTTGTATCAATTTACCCAAACTTGTGTAATCTTACTTTGGCAGCAAGCCTCTCATGGCAGGCTAACCACAAGATAACAGTTGGTCTAGGCCAGTCTACATTGCCATATAACAAGGTCCTCCAATCCACATTGTGGCTGCTAATATGCAAGGCCATGTAAACCTTCCTCATCGTAAGCTTATTGTTCTACTTCAACTCATCTCAGGTTGGTAAGTTTTGGACACTTTCCCACTGATTTAGGATAGCTTTGATAATCCAAGAAGAGCTAGCATGCACATTAGCCTCCATAAGCTTCTTGTTTTTCAGGTAATAGACATGAACCCATTTCACCCCAAAACTATCTGATTTACTATTCAAGTTCCGAAGAAGCTTCACCAGGTTAGTTTTATTCCACGTCTCAAGATCAATCAAGCTCAGGCCTCCATGATTTTTCGGGTTGCAGACAATTTTCCATGGAATGAGAGATTTTTTGCTTTTCTCAGTGCCACAAGTCCAAACAAAAGTACGACAAATGATATCAATTTTGTAAATCATACACTTAGGGAAAGGCAACCATTGCATCCAATAGTTCATGATTGCAAAAGTCACAATTTTAAGGAGTTGAATCCTACCGGCATAGCTCAACAATCTAGAACTCCAGTGATTCTACTAATTATCCTGTCAATCAAGCACATGTAGTTGTGAATATTCAATTTCTTACTAGTCAATGGAACCCCTAAGTACTTGAAAGGCAGTATTCTTCTTTATGTCTTCCTTAGTATTATGATCCACGCCACCAAAATGGATACAACATTTTACAGGGTTAACCTTAAGGCCAGTAGAATTATAGAACTTGCAAAAAGCCTTCATCATAATGTTAACTGAACCAATGTCTCGTCTAGAAAACAAGAAGTAAATCATCAGCAAAACACAAGTTGGTGAGGCCTAATTTCTCACACTTGGCATGAAAATTGAAATTGTGGTTCTTTTCCATTCTTTAGACGCATCTATTAAAGTACTCCATCATGATGACAAACAAAAGAAGGGAGATAGGGTCTACTTAGCGCAACCCTCTTTTAGAATGCATAATAGGTGTATAATCTAAATTGATGTTAAATATATAGGAGACTGAGATAACAACTATCATGATCCATTTGGTGAACTGCCTAGGGAACCCAACTTCACTCAGCACACTCTCTATCACCTTCCAATCAATTGTGTCATAAGATTTTTGGATATTCATTTGAATTATAGACCTAGGTGTTCCACCTTTTTTATTATACCCCTTAATCAATTTATAGGCCAAAAGAATATGGTTATGAATCACCTGACCAGGGACAAACACAGCTTGGTTGTGACTAACAATGTTTTTCATCACCTTTCCTAATCTAGTAGTTAAGACTTTAGAGATAATGTTGTATATAGTTCTATAGCAAGAGATAGATTTATAGTCTTTGATGCTCTTGACCTCTTTACTTTTAGATGTAAGTGTCACCAAAGTGCAGTTGGCAGCCTTGTACAGAGTACCTTTAACAAAGAACTCGTGGACTGCATTTAGAACATCTTGCTTTTTGAGGTAGCAAAATAGGTTGGACCCGTCGAACCCGCTTTTTTAACCCACCATTTTTGTCGGGCCGGGGCGAGGTTTTTGGCTTGGCCTCTTAAGTTGGCCCGCCCCGCCTAACCCACCTTTAAAACGGGTCGACGGTGGGGTGGGTAGGTTTTGCCCACACGCTTTTTGTTTACAAAATTTATTTATTTTACTTCGAATTAAAATAATATTAACATGGTATGTAGTAGACATACTTTTAAAACAACCCTCATTTCTTCAAGCCCTAATATTCATTTTTCACATAACCACAAACACCTCATTTTGAAGACATTAATTGGTCTCTACTCCGCTTTTTATTTTCACTCAGTAGGAAAAGTCTTTATTGGAAAACATAGAGAATACATTATTTTCTATTACTCGTTGTCATTGGAGTCGAGTTTTAAAGCGTTGGGAAATCTCCAGGTGCTAACCAAGTGCAAACATTGGCCTTAAATTAAGAATTTTGTGATTTGCTATTTCTGGTCATGACCAAAATTCAGTTCCATGGGGTCGACTTCAAACCATTGGGAAATTATGTAGACTTGACCATTACCTCTCATTACTTTTACTAAATGATCACATAATAACGTAGAGTACAATGCAAAAAGAATGGTTTCATACTGATGCTTGAGCAAAAAGTTGTGAGCTAGTAAAGTTGTGAGCTATAATAATGTCTTTAAACTTTTCATGGCTTGACAAGCATAATTGGCCTTTAATCATTAAAGCAAACTTGTATACGGCATCAAATATGATGATTGGAAAAAAATAATCGCCGACAAAAGTTGAAAAATGAGAGATTTATGACATTTGGTAGTTAGGAAAATAACACTTGAATTTAGGTCAAATTTCACTAAGTCCACAAAATGACCTCTAATGTTTCCAAACTTTTGATGATCTTACAAGTATAATTGGCTTTTGACTTGTAAAGATAACTTGGAGGCGATGTCAAGAAGAGTCATATGCTCAAAGGAGCACTAAAAAATGTTGAAGTATGAAAAAGTTATGATATTTTGAAGTTGGACTTAAAATGTTAACTTTTTAGGTGAGGCCTCTTTAAACAAACTTGCAAACTTGCAACCTTGGAATTTTTCTTGCATTTCAAGGTACATTGATGATCATATGAACTTAAAATTATGTACTCTTGATTTTCCTTTAATGAAACTTGCAATGACTTGAGGAAACTTGTTGATGAAGGCATGGAAATAAACACATGAACCTTTGAAGTTTCTTGAGAAATAAGCTATGAAACTTTAAAACATCTTTGATCAAATGAAGTTAAATAATACTTGAGACCCTATGCTTTGAGATTATAGGTCATACTTTGATGAATAGCCTTTGAAAAACAATGGTTGACCACACTTTAACTTGAGAAACTCAAACCCTAGTTGAGGAGACAATCACTTGATACTCTTGATTCCAAACCCTACCTTGCAAAAGAAACAAAAGGGACAAGGCATATTTTTGTATTTTGATTAAGGGTTAGTGAATTAAAAAGCATACAAATATTAAAATATAAAAGATATACAAAGAGGTGCATGATGATCTCTGCAAAGGCAAACCCAAAGATGATAGGGTTAGGAGACAACTAAGTTTGTGATCTTGATGCATTACAACAATATAAATAAGGTGGTATCTTAGGGGTAAAAATTAGGGTATGACAGGCCTGAACTATTATAATCCAGGTCGACATTACTTAATGGGTAGTCGCAAAAAACATACAGTGTATCCTCTTCCAACTCACCACGAAATCAACA